GGTCTATTGGCTGGCCTGCTCTTGCACCCTTTGTATTTTTAGAGGTGAGGCTAATAAATAGTTTTACTTCTTTTCATGAGCTTAAAATATCATCTAGGAACTTTGTGGAAGAAAATCCTTACGCAGCAGTTGTTGCATGGGAGCAGGACTAGCTTTTTGTGTGGCATACAGATGATTTGGGGAGGCTGGAAAGGCTGGGAGAGGGGTGTTTTGAGTATTTTCTGCTATGTTTGTTTTAATCCATAACGAAGCACTGAATGCATTTGTAAAGGTTCCTCCCGCTTTTGCAGTGACTTTGCTGCTAGTGCTTTCCCGTAAGACTGAAGGAGACCAGGGCGATAGTACTGCCCTCCTCTATTATTCATGCTTACAGTAAATAATTCAAGAGGCAGAGCTGGCAACATAAAATGAAGGCTCAGAAGTCCTGAGCTTTCCCTGTGGTGGGCTACACATTTCCATTGAGGGGGAGTGCACGCCAGTGTCACTGGTTTGTTAGGAATGCCTCTGCCCCAGCAATTCCAGCCACACTGACCTCTGCCAGCGCTGGGAGAGAAACATTCGCTCTCTCCAGCAGGATGGCTTTGCTGGCTTTAATCTGTGAAAATGAATTTACAGTTTTGCCTGCTTTCAAATCAGGAGAATGTGTCGTAGCTGCAAATTGGGAGGATTTACCCGTGTAAGTACATACGCTAAAGCACATCAAGCCCAGATTTTTCCACACATTTGGAGGATTATTTTAGGAGAAACACAGGTGCATACACCCACTTCTTTGGGGGGAAAAAAAAATAGGCCATGTTATTTGACATTTTAAATAATAAAAATAAAACTTGGAGAAGCAATTGCTGAACTATAGATCAGCCTGAGTCTGGTAACTGCTTTTATCGACTGGTATGGGGCACTTCTGTGGGCAATGGCCTAGCGTTCAGTGCTCACTTTGAATCCCAAAACACGTCTAAAGGTATTTACCTTCTGACGTCTAAAACTGGAACAGAGTTATGAATAAAATCGCAGTCTTCTCGAAGGCTGCACCAGCACAGCAGTGAATGCTTTGCTCCTTAATTCACTGGGATAACCACCTGTGCGAAGGACGGGCAGCTGCTTCCCTGCCTTTCGCTCCAGCACAGGCGTTTGGTGTGGCCGAGGGCTTGGCACAGCAGGGCAGCTTCCCAAGGGCAGCAACGATGTCTAGGGGGGCTTTAGGTGGCACTGCAGGTGACTGAGTGTGCGGACTGAAGATTTGGGCTATCTGCTGTTCTCTGATGGTCAGCAAGCCCTTTGTGGGTGAGGAGAGAACGTAACTGTGCGTTGGGGTTCACAGCGTTTGATTTGTAACCAAGTGGTTTTTCACTTGCTGGTTGTGTTTGAAACAGTTCTTGCAGGTCATTAATGGGTAAGGGAATTGTGAAAAGAGCGTGATAGTACTGTTATTCATTCCCATTTGGGGGAAAAAACCCTGTAAACTTATCTTGAAGGCTGCCAAATGCCATTCCAAGTGCTCTGAAAGCAGTTTTATGTTTCCTTATCTGAAGACTGCTGTGATCTTCCCAGATTCATTAATACGTGAAAAGCAAATTGCAGAAAATGCCTTTATGTTTCAGAAACGCGGTGGCAGGAAGGGAGTGCTTAGCAAGAAGCTGCACATACCTCACATACGTAACGCTTTCCCGTCTATCAGAAGATCCTATCCCCATCAGATAGCAGCAAGACATTCCTGGGGGTGGAGTGAGAGTGAATTTATCTTGGGAGTGAGCAGGATTTTGCTTTGCTAAGCTAGCTGGTTTGCTCAATTCAGGAATTTTCCACTCACCTCTGTTATCCACCAGCATATAAATCCTAACAACTGTAATTAGGGCTATTTACCTTAATTAGTTAAGAGTTTCCTGCAGCTCACCTGTCCTTCTGCTGGCTCTCTCCTGTCGTCCTGACTGCTTGGTTGAACCGCTTCTCAAAAAATTCCTGCTTCGGAGGTATGCTTTCAAAACTATGTCGTGGAGGGGACTGCATTCCTGTTCCTTGAGGAAGGCTGCTGCAAGGTAGACATGGTGTTATACAGAGAAGCGCTATTTGATTTAAAGAAATACGAAGCTGCACTACGTGGTTTTTATTGTCTTTTGATAGATTATTAATCTCAGAGACCCTGGCTGAGGGGAAGGCTCTGTATTGAAATGCTGGGAGGAGTGTGTAGTGCGGCCTGAGGAGGTGGTCAAGGGCATCTCTCTGGTTGCCTTTTCCTTTCCATTTCCTCTGGTGTGAGCATGCTACCACTATGTCTGGGTGGACAAATTTGCTTTGGTCAGTTTAATTCAAAAGATTTAGTTTAACTGGCTTGATACTTACAATTTTGTGTGCTGATTCAGAGTATAGCATAGACTGTTAACACGGATGTAAAATGCAGGTTTGTAGGGATTTGTGGGCAGCTCAGCTCCATTAGCTTGAAATAACAGCTGAAAAACATCCTTTCTAAGGTAAAGATATGCATTAGCGAACATCAAAAATCAGTTGTTAGTTCTTGCGATTGCTAGTTAGAACATGCCAAAATTACAAGCCCTCTGTCAAGAATAGATATGAGAAGAATTATTCGGCCAATAATACAATAGTAACATGTAGATTTAGTTCTGTTAAATCATCGCAACCCTTCTGTTTAAGATGGAAAAAAAAAGGAATATAGGTTCTGGTCCATAATTCCTTATAAATAGAAATGCCTGTTGGCTAAATCAGGGAAGGGATCCGAGTAGCTGCAGCTGTGGCGTACTTCTGATCATTTGCATTCTCCACCTCCTGCCCTTATTGCAGAATTAAATTGGTCTCTCATTAACATGGGAATGTTTGTTCTTACACCGCCTGCTCTCTCCCCTGTGCCTACATGACTATTCCAATGTAACGTCAGTCCCTGTTGGGAGCCTCCGGAGCGGGTGCCAGCGGGACGGGAGGGGTTGTGGGAAGGGACTTTCTTTACCTCTTACAACAGGTGCCTTTGTCAGCACACCTCAGAGGCAGCCAAGGAGGAGCCACTCTTAGCCTTACCCTTTTAACTTTTGCTACAAGAAAAAAAACCAACCCACCCCACAAGGCAATGAAAGCGAAGAGGAAGTGGTCATTTAAAGCGCTTCGGAAAACCTGAGTGGAATTTAGCATAGCAGGTATGATTTTTGTATAAGTGACACGGAGAGCGATCTCATGAGCTGGATATCGCTTCAGGATCGGAATCTAAAGTATCTCTGCTGTGGGAATTAATTGGAAAAAATTTGCAAGCCTTTGAAGAAAAACTAAAAAAAAATGCACTGTAGGTGCATTTCAAGGAAAAAATACCTTTCTTCTTCCTTCAGGGGTTAAGCATGATCAGAATCTGCTTTAGTCTCAAGGATTTAACCTCAAGTGCTGCATTTTTTGTTTGCCATAAGCCTATTAGAACTCTCTCTGTTTCCTAGCAATAACATGTAATTTCGCCCCCTATTTAAGTGAAGGAGATGTTGGGTTTTTAATCCTGTACGCTATAGCTGTTGCTCAAATTTCCTATTCAAATGCAAATAGCACCTGGTGCTATTTAGATACCCGTGTAATCTTTGATAAAGATACTCCAGGAGCACAAGAAAAAGAGAAAAGCAAGGTGGGTCTGACCCTGTTTCTTCTGGAAAGCGAGAGCATAACCATATGCTACCAGCAACCTGAACTTGAAATTTCTACCAGATTTGCAGCATCCAGCATGTACTCTTTTTGGAGACAAATGCGCGGCTGAAATGATTTATGTTTCTTGAGCAGGTACGATTTTTCACCAGGAAGAACAAAAGGCTTCCAGAGAAGATAAAAATGTGGAGAATGAGTCTAAGCAGAAGTGCTCATTTGGTTAGGAGTTTGCCCTTGCTTGAGTCTCCTGAAAGGAGTTTCATTTTGGGACATTTTGTTTGTTTCTTCAAATCACTTATTATTTTCTAGATTTTCATTTGTAGTTTTGAGAATATTGATTTTTAATCTTTTTTTTCAGAATTTTTTCCTTGTGCTGTTTTTCTTCTGTGTTAGGTAGATGTTACAATAAATGAATTGGAAAGTCAGGAGCAATTTGGAAAGCAGCTACGCGGTTTAGGACTCATAGACAAGAGATACCATATCACTTCTTGATTAAAAGCAAACCAGTCGCAGATTCAGGTTAAAAACCTTCTACTGTGCAAACTTTCAATTGCATAAATCGGTTTTATTTCACTTGTGGAGGTGCGAGGTTATTCAAGGAAGAGCTTACAGCCTTCACTGCATTTTGCATGAGTGTTTTACCCTGTATTACAAATGGATAACTGAAGGACTCTTTTTGGAAGGTTGTGACTTGATGCCATCATCTTCCTGCTAAAATCAAAAAGCATCTACACGGCACGAGATGCAGTTTGGATCTGCGTAAAAGAGAAAGTGTTTTTCAAGAGTTTAAAGGAGAGATTTAGAAACTTGTGGAAAATTCCAAGGAATGTCTGAAAGAAATCGTCATTACACCAGTCTCTGTGAATTTACAAATAAGCCAAAAGAAGCAATTCACTGGAAAGCGAGACTCTACTGACAAGAATATCAGCTTTCTGTGGGAGAAAACTGGATATAAAGAATAAACAATTGCTGCAAAGTTTGGGAAGAACAGAAGTGATTCCAATCCTGCTGTCAAGCACTGATGGATCTTTTCTTGCTTAATACTAATCTGGTTTGGCTACTGCTTTTTCATCTTCAGCCTCGTACTGGAATTAAAACTACTTCCCTGGCGTTCACCAGACTTAAGCAAACGCCTTCTGCAAGCTGGGTGTTGGGAGTGTGAGCAGGTGTTTCATGGGTGCTTCCCGTGACAATAAAAGGCACCCTTGAGAGGAAAACCCACATGGGAGCTGATTTGCTGGGTCATATTTTCTCTCGTGACACTCCTTCCTCATTAGCTTCTTCAGGTGGGTGTGAACAACTGACACGGAACTGAGCCAAGGTTCAGCCTTGGATTGTCAACCTGCTCTGGCTGCTAACGGCAGCTTGCCGGCAAAATGATGGAAGAAATCTCCATAATGGTGGCTTACGATGCCCATGTTTTTAGCCAGCTGTACGATGAAGACTTTCTGGCCAATCTGGTGGCAGTCAGCAAACCCAAATCTGTGGTAGGTGTTACTCTTGCTCCTTTGCCAATAATGCTTAGGTTATACTCTTTCCAGTAGTTAAGTCCTTTGGCTGAAAGCTATCTCTTATTTATTTTGTCTTTTTATTACTTTTTCAGAAATTTGCTTTTGTGCATCAACAAAATTAAATTAACATTTTATTTCAGAAGAGATAAGATTATTAAAATAATATCTTTCTGGGCTACTAAGTTTAGAAGAAGGTGATTTGCTCAGTAGGATAATAGTTAAAATAACATTTTTTAAATAATGCTGAAATAATTGAAATAATAATTAAACCCGAAAATGACTGAGCTTACCTAACCGTGGAATCGGCACTAAATGATGTAAATGCAGTGATGTGTTTTAGCATGTCAGTTAAAGGTTCAGGCCAGATGCTCAGTGTACACCCAGGGTCTGGGGTGTAGGTCACTGTCATCACTAAATCTAAGAGAATCGGTCCCTTGTATGGAAACGGTGATTTAACACTTTTACATGCTCTTTTGAAATCAGCATAAGTATCTGTAAAGCCTTTTTAGTTAAATGACCACTTCCTTTTCTTCATAAATAGTGTATATCTTTATGTAAATGACATGTATAGTGTGGTCATCTTCCTCCCTCATGGAGATCCCAGCACTTGTAGGGAGCTGCATTTAAGGCACTAGTTTTGACTCTGAAGTTTGGTGCCAAAATTCATCTTTGGTCTCAAATTCTACAGATGAGCCTATGTGTGAGCCAGTCTACCTAGAATCAATCAAAAGAAGTCTTTGAAAAATAAAAATGCACGTATAGGTGTTAAGCTTAACTTGAAATCAAATACAGTTAACATTTCAGTCTAAATACAAATCAGGCTAATTATTTAGCAATCCAATTAAGCATTTGTGTTTGCAGATTTTGGTCTGTTTATGTGTTTGTATCCAGGTAGTTCGCTAAGCTATGACAAAGGGAGGTATTCTCAGAAGAGGAAAACTTTGCTTTGTTGCTATCTTGTGTAAAACCTCTCTAAGCCTATTTCTTGCTTGGGTTTTTCTGCTTGTCCATGCTCAGGAAATCTCGGGTGCATGAACTCATCTCTTGCATCTCCCATAGACCTCTGGATCTAAACCAGAGTTCTGCCCAGTCCCTTTTATTATGGTGCCTTTTTCTGTCCCTGGCCTCCTCTAGGCTAGAGTTTACACGGCCCATTAGAATAGCTAGCTAATAAATCTGGAAGTCCAGTATAGACAAAACTGTGTACTTTAATATGACCTGGTTGGAGATTGGGCTCCAAGTAGGCTTTAACTTAACCAGCATATTAGGAGTTGTGTACTTTTTCCATGCTGGGTATTTTTAACTATGTGGTGTACCTTAATTCATTGTCCAGCCACAACCTTTCCTCTTTTCCTGCCTTAGCTGATTGCTATGGCAGCATTTATTATTTTGACTGGAAGCCCAGAGTAGCATCGTTCTTTCAGAGAGGTACCCGTGTTGCAATAGGATTAATGGGAGCCAGGTACTCGCGCACAAGATACCTGCCAGCAGGCTCTGGGAGAGGCCCTTTTGTTGAATTTCTCTGAGCAAATGATGGTGACAGTAGGGTTTCCTGGATGCCTCCTGTCCTGAACTGCCTGCGTGCTCTAGAGCCAGTACTGCAGTTGTTTAAATTAAAACCCTCGTGGTAAGAAAACATTTCCTGGATGGCTTACCCTATAATTTAAATCTTTGAAAAGTGCTGCTTAAATGGGCTCGGTGATGGCCTCTTAAGTTTTACATAGCTTCGGAGCAAAAGTAATGGACATTGTGCTAGGTATCTCTAGATTGCTCCAGATCAGCTGCAAGTGACTGGAGGAGAGAGTAACTGGTGTCAAGAGCACCACCTTACAGCTCCACCTGATTTTTGCCACTCTGAAAATGTGATGAAATAACATTTTTTTAAAAAACATTTCTCTATGAAGTAACCACCTATGTCCTAGTAAACAGAGATACTTACGTGGAACAACTGTGGGAGGGGGAAAGTATCATTATTACTATTATTTATAAGATTTGAATGATTAGTGTAAGTATGTGTTCTTATCAATTCTTTTCCTGAATCAAAGAGTATTAACATGTTTCAGTGCATTAGGTAGTAGTAAATAAGTTAAGAAATGTGTTTTTCGCAGGGTTTACATAGGAAATACTTAACTACTCTTTTAAATGGTTTTGAAGTATTTTAAACAAGCAAATAATGGTGCAAACAACCTGAGTAGGTTTAAGATGAAGCTCGATAGGATTAGACGATGTGTGGGAGCCTGCACTACTAAGGGATGGGACCTGATGACTCAGAAAGTTTCTTTCAGTTCTCTGCTGCTATGTTTAATTGTGGAACAAGCTGCCAGTTGGGATAAGTTGGGGCAAATCCTATTGACTCTGTCCTGGTCAGTTTACCAGATTGCACAAAGGTATGTACTGTACGTAAAGTAACATTCTGCAGAAAGAATTTGCAGAGTTTTTGTTTATTCTGAGAGTTCATGTTAATAGCACAGGTATTTTTGCAACCTAGGATTCATCTGTTTGTTCGCAAAATCCAGGTTTCATTTATTTTTAAAGGAGTTTCTAGTATGCTGCTCTGGTTGCAGAGAAAAGTTAAAAAAAAATGTTCTTTAAAGGCTTTCATCCTGTTCTGCAGTTTGGATGCCAGGATGGCTTTGTTGTAGTGCCAGAAATCTTGCAACTAGTAACTCATTGTAGTTCATTTGGATTGTACAATAGGTCAGAGCACACAGGAGTCTCTCTTGCACAGAGGAGAGAGCCCTGTGTTACGATGTGAAATGGCAAAGGGTTAATACTAAAACCAAACCAGGCCTGGATGATCGCTGTTGTGGGTTGCTTATGCTTAAAGCCAGCCTTTCTTAACCTTCTTGACATGTCCAGTGCCACCTACGTAATGAACTTTGTGAGGAAAATCAGAATCTGCTGTTTCCCAGGTCCCATCAATTCTAGTCGTATTTTTCAATGGAAAATGTGAATTTTTCAGTGGAAAGCGTAACAGTGTTTTTGTAGTGTTGCTTTGATGCACATAAATACCAATTAAACAGGATGTAGATGATCTGAGATAAGGTTTTGTTAAATATGCTCCAAAGCAACACTGTACGATAGCAATCCTCCAACGTATGTTTTATTAAATTAGTCATATTGCAGCGTGACCATGACACACGGTTGTTTTGCTGTGTGGTCTTGCTTCCAAGATTTCAAGTTATTCTGAAACTACTTCGCACAGACATGCAAAGCAGCCTATAAAAGTGGACTGCTGTGTAGTTTGTGCAAGAATTGAGTAGCTTTACTCCAGGGAATTTCAATTCTCAACTTATCTGCAGAAAACTTGGACCCAAGGGGTTATAAAAATGGTATTACTAAGTGGTATAATCCTCTTAATCCAGAGTTGAAGGACATTCTTCTGGAAAGCTTAATTGTATTTTCATTTGCCTGCCTGCCTTGTGTTTAGCTCTCCTGTTCAAGGGAATGTTCAGCCATTTCATAGAAATAATTCATGGTTACGCACCAACCGACTGCCATATAATGATTTCTAGGCTCTTAATTTCCCATCGAAGCCAAACTGAGGAGGTTCAAAGCGGATGGGTGAACTGCAAAGTGGGTGAAAAACTGGGTGTCCTGGCAGGTGTGCAGGGTGTAGTAGTCAGTGGGTTGAAGTCTAACTGGCAGCTGGCTAAAAGTTGGTTTTGGGGGCTGATACTGTTTAACATTTTCAAGATGCGCCCTGCTTTTCAGATGGCAAAAACTTGGTTTTCAGGTCATAAAAACTCGAGGGTGAGTGGTGGACACGCGGGAAGGCAGGTCTGCCGTTCAGAGGAACCTCAGCAGGGGTGGGCTGAGAGGAACCTCCTGAGGTTCAGCAAAGGCAAGTGCAAAACCCTGGGTTCCTCCCTGGGTGGGAATAACTCCATCGTCTGTGCAGGCTGGGGACAAAATGTCTGGATAGCATCGATGCAAAGAGAGTGTTGGGAGTGGTGGATGACAACATGAGTGAGCAGCATGCCCCGGCAGTGACGAAGGCTAGCTGTGCACGAGAAGGCGTTACCAAGAGCACAGCCAGCATGTCCGGTGAAATGGTTATTCCCTTCCACCCAGCAGTTGTGAGGCTGCATCTCACACACTGAATATGGTTTTGAGCCCCGCCTGGAGAAAAGGGATATTCGCAACCGAGAGCGAGCCCAGCGGAGGGCCACTGGGAAGGCAGGGGGCCGACCGCACGAGGGAAGGATGAGAGGGTTGGGGCAGCTTAGCCTGAAGAAGAGAAAGCTCAGGAGGGATCTAATTGCAGTCTCCTGCCACCTAAAGGAAGGTCCTAGAGAGGATGGAGCCAAACTCCTCTCAGAGGCACACAGTGAAAAGACAAGGAATGGTCATGATTTGCATTAAAGCAAATTCTGGCTCAGCATAAGGGAAAACAGTTCTGCCCAGGGAGCCCCTGGCATCTCCATCCTTGGAGACTTTCAATAATTGAGCAGCATGCTCTGACTTTGAAGCTATCCTTGCCTGAGCAGGAGGTTGGTCTATATGCCCACTGGAGAGCCCTTCCAATCTAATTTTCTGTACGAGTCTCTAATTCTGTCTTGTGTGGAGTCTTGCACTGAGGAGGAGCTGGCAGCATTTGAGCTTTTGAAGACCATCTTTCCCTGGGTGGCATTACTGCTGGCGTGCTGCTGCTGTTGCTACTGCCAAAGGAGAAGTAAAAGGGAATTTGGGTGGTCGCTGTTACGAGAATTGGCTCTTTCCAGCAGATATAATCCTTGTCTGTGCCCTTCCCTTCCCAACAGAAGGAGGGATCCTGCTCTCAGGATGTCTCTAGGAGCTGTCTCACCTCTGCCCCTTCCTCCTCTGTGGGCCAGGAGCAGCCAGATTCTGCCCTGATCCTCTCACCCTGTCTTTGGAGCAGGAAAAATTTTCTTATATACATGCATAATAAAATAAAAAATTTTATTTGTTGAACGGGTGATGCAGAAAAACAAAAGCTCTAATCGTTTTCTTTC